CTCCAACCATCATTAGTATTTGTAAATGTTTTTAAACAAACATACAAAAACCGTTCTTCCCGGTTTAAAGCCCATTGTGGATAAGCGGCATGCTTGAGGTCTTATGATGCTGTAATTCAGATAGATAATGTATTATGATAAAATGTACCTATCATCTTGTCAAACAAAGTACAATCACTAAGGTTGGATATTAGTGTACCCGAATACCACAAATTAGTTAACAGTAACAGTTTAATGTCATTGTGATATACTAAAGTGAATTGAATTTGTTTTAAGAGTTATATCGAATAAGTCAGCCAACAGGAGACTCGTTCAACATTATGAAACAGTGCTGAGCTTGAACTGCTGAGATTAAGCTAAAGAATTAACAGACTGGACACAAATAGTAAAACACAATGAAAACGATCTTTATTAATGCCCCCCAGTGGCACAGTGGTATGTCTGCGGACTTATACCACTAGAAACCGGGTTTCGATACCCGTGGTGGGTCGAGCACAGATAGCCATTTGTGTAGCATTGTGCTCAATACCAAACGACAACAAACAACATCTTTATCAATACTTAGGACTAAAACACAATGTGTACTTGCTTACGATAGACTGTCGCTTCTTTACTAAGTTTTCATAATAAAGGACAAGACTAAGTAAATGCAAGGTTTCTAGCTTCGAAGATATCTCGCGACATGAACTATCATGTGACTGGCCATTCTCATTCCCCATAGGTGGGGGCCATAACCCTTATATCGAAAGGCACTGTTGTCAACTTCTCAAACAATGTCGCTGTAAACAATGTTCACCATGGGCTGTATCAAGTATTACAAACTCCTAAAATGACACAGGGACAAAGGTAACTTGAAACAAGATCAACTTAACGGTTTTCTTAACCACTTGTTATGTGAACGTATGTAGAACAAAGAACAAATTCTGAATAGATAATAATAATACTAAAGAAAGAAAGAAACATATGATATATTCCTATACTACAATATGATCAAAGAATTGTTATTGTAGAGCTTATTTGAAACACGTTTCCTTTTATGTGGACTCTCTTTGTAAATCACACTGTCATGGAAATAAAATTTTCTGAAACCATGTAAAATACGAAGGAAAAGAGGAGGGTATAGTGGTAATTAGATATGCAAGTATACTATGTGTTTTCTACCACCTTGTTTAACATAAGATTTTGGAAATTTTTTATGCATGTATATGTGGTTGCAACAAAAAATGTTGGCCATAAAATTTGCTATGTTCCTTTCGCCCTACTACCTATTGTTCTGAGCCATTCAATTGAGGTGCCATCTGTGATTTCTCAAGAATAATAAGGATTCTAAGCCAGATAATAATTCCCTAAGGGTTTTGAACACTTGCTAACACTTTTTAAGTCTTTGTTAAGAAGGTGCTGGAAGATTAGAAGTTAGCTGATGTTATTCCTCTTTTCAATGGAGGTGATGAAAACTGTTCAGGTATTGAAGACCTATTAGTCTTTCATCAATGGTGAGAAAATATGAAGGATGCTTTTCAAAGTCATTTAACAAAGCTTAAAATGTTGATGGATAGCCAACATTGTTTCACAAAAGAAAAGTCTTACCTTACTAATATTTTGACATTTTTTTATAAGGTTACTGCTTAGTTTAAGCTGATACATAAAAAGACTGAATACAATGTGTGATATAAAATGGAAACAATCTTTATCTTTATTGATATGTGTTAGATATACACGACTGTTCATTTAAAGTTTAATACGAGAGAGTTATTTAGTTTCTATAGTGCAAGCGTTAAAGTACTGTTATGACAGCGGAAGTCACGTGACGCTAGTAACACATCATGAGATTCTAGAAGGATCATGTCTGTTCATGGCAACTCTAGTCTTCTCTACGTGCCCTCTATTTTTTATATATATATAAGCCGGCAAATGAAGTGACGGCATAATAGATAAGAGATAATTTCAGACAGACAGAGACGGACAATTGTGTCAAGCGCGGTAGTAAGTAAAGTGCGTGAATCGTTGTGAATTATAGCGTGTGTTAATTTAAAGTTACTGTGGAAATTAAGTGTATTGCAAAGTTGTATTGAGGAAGAATAAACTAGTTTTATTTAAGAAAGTACTTGTATCGCTGAAGTTTCCTCGGGAAGAAATTATACGGGAAATTAAAAAACGATCAGAGACGTAACAAATTGGTGTCAGAGAGTGGGACGGAAAAGAAAAAAAAATGGAAATTAGAAGTGGCCAATCAAACTATAACTTAGCAGATTTGATGGCAGCAATACAAGAACAGCAAAAGAAACAAGAAGAACGAGAAAATAAATAAGAAAAGAGACTACAGCAGTGGTTGGAGGAAAAAGAAAAGAAACAAGAAGAGAGATTACGGCAGTTGTTGGAGGAAAAAGAAAAGAAACAAGAAGAACGAGAAAAGAAACAAGAAGAGAGATTACAGCAGTTGTGGGAGGAAAAAAAGAAACAAGAAGAGAGAAAACAGCAGTGGCAAGAAAACCTGCAACAGTACCAGCTCGAACAGCAAAATAAACAAGAGAGACTACAGCAGTGGTTGGAGGAGAAAGAAAATTAACAGGAAGAGAGGTTACAGCGGTGGCAACTGGAACAAGAAAGGAAACAGGAAGAAAGTTTCCAATAGTTGCAGGAAAGTCAGCAGCAACAACAGGAAGTCAACAACAGTGGCAAGAAGTACAAATGGAAAACATTAGTAAATTTCAAAGCTAATTAAATACATTAAAGGATGACTTGTTGTCTTTTACACAAGGAGGATGCATTAACCATCGACTTATTCAGCCCCAGACAACGGAAAGCGCCTTCCAGACCCCGCAGGTAAACCTTAATGCAGACATTTTCAGTCCTGTTAAAAGTCACATCCCAGATATGAATATCAGCAATAGGGGTGATCTAGTACGAAGGAAGCCACAGGAATTCGATGGGAAGGCACCGTGGGAAACATATAGAGCA